TGGGCTGTCTTCAATTCGGTAAGAAAACATAGCTTAGATTGCAGATCGCAATAATCGTTACTCTCTCTTAGCATTGACATTGAGAAGAGGAGTAATCTACCCAAAAATACAACTCTAGTCATTATTTTGTCAAAACGCTCTTCACGTTTACTTATCGATATTATTGACGCATTTGTATTAAATTGATTATCGTGCAATAAAGTCGAGTTATTTTATAGAACTAAATTCAATTTTTCACTTTACAAACGTAAAGAGGCACACTTAACGAACTTACAGCTGATTTTTTTCATTTACTTTGTTTGCCTGAAAATTTTAAGTGCGATCAAAGTTCTTTATGTCTCACTCATACAAGCAATGCCTTGCAATCATAAAGTTGTGCGCATCCGATGGGATTAAATATCATAGGTGTAGTAGATAGGATTAGGCAAGCGGCAACTATAGTTTCCCAAAGGCCAACTGTATAGTTGGGATTTAAGATCTGCTTGGCTATCAAGAACGACTATGGTTTCATTTTCGATTAATTATTCTCTTTGTCTTTCTAGTGCTTAGCAAAATAAGGTTTATGGACTTACATGTGGTAACAAGTTGAAAAAGTATATGGTTTCAGGGGCTCTTAAGTAAATGGGCGCGAAATATAATAACCTGCGATAACCTGGTTCTAGGTATAATCGTTTGAGGATTTGTCTGGATTACTTCATATTAACATGAAAGTGTCCGCGACATATTCATTGAAGTTAATAAAGCAAATAATTTGACTTTACATTGAAATGGTATTCTACCGAGTTATCACTTTGCTCAATAAATCTCCATTTCAACTTGTCGTAGTTTCATCTTTCAAGCGCACTTATTATATTGATCCTATTCATCCTCTCTCTCGACACTCAAAATCACATTTTTTATTGATTTCAAAATTGTAAAGATATCGTAAAGCTGATTGCTAGAATACCATGACATTTTTCCACACGCACACAAACACACGCAATATTTCTACTTTCCAGAAATGATACAAATCTATCAATAGTGATGCTATGTATATGTCAGACAGAAGACATATATATATATATATAATATCCTACGTATTTCCCTAGACATGGATTAAGAGGTTTCCTTTTTTTTTTATCCAAAACTGAACTGATTGAATAGCTTGCCCCAAAGCCTTTTAAAATTGGAAGATAACTGCGATGGTGGCATTTTTTAATGCTTTTCTTCTTTAAATATATCTTCTCGAGTATTTTTCTTCTATTAGTTTTCCTTTCATCCGAAGAAAAAAAAAAACATATTAAAATACGTTACTTTTGGCGAAGGATAGCCGATCATTAAAATTTAAAAGTGCGGTTAGTTGCTGTTTCTTCAAGTCAGAGGATGTAGAGGACCCAGTTTATATAGATTAGAAGAAACTATTTGAACTTTCTTTAGTTTTGCACTAAAAGCGAAAACCTTCTAGATCCATAAACGAAGATCAGGACAATTAAACAATCACGACTTAACTTATTAGAAGGTCAACAGTAGGCACCAAGTAGCCAGCTAAGCAATCTTGAGGTGGTAGCTGTTCTCGTCGTACATAGTTTGATAAACTTTACTTTAAAAAGTGCCAGACTTTGAAGGAAATCTTTATGTATCCTTAAAGTAGAGTATCACAAGTATGTATTTAGATATACTTTCTTCTTCAGACTTCCGCAAGCGTAATTTTTTCTTTTCGCCTCGATCAATAATGAATGCTAATTAAGCTTGATGAGCAATAGGGTGTAAAGCAATTTAATCGAAATAATTATTGAATAGTTTTTGAGGGTTTCCTTAAAATAATTGAAAAGAGATTTCGGGAAATATATATATATATATATATATATACATACATATAGATATATATAAATATATATACATACGATGAAGGATTTGTTCAAAACATTCCTTAACTTGAAAAACACTTGCAATAAAAAAAAAAAAAAAATTATATATATATATATATATTTTTAAATTTTATCTAACGTTAAGGAAGAGAGAAAAAGCATAAAAAAAAAATCAAAAATCTTATTGATTGCATAGAAAAGGGAATAAAAAGCTAGAAAAAGAAACAAAAAAAAATCCCTAAACAACTAACGCATATACACTTCAGTAAAGTTTAACTACAAATACTCTCAACAATATTCAAAAAAACAAAAAAAAAAAACAAAAAAGAGAGAAAAAAAAGAAGGAAAATGCAGTAAGTGAACGAATGTTAAGTGAAAAGTTTTCATTTAATGCTTTATATAAAAAAACACAACAACAATAACAGTAAGCGAACAACAACGAACATGACATGAGAATAAAAACATCAATTTAAGGGTCAATGCAGTGAATTAACTTCGGATCTCAACCGTCAGAACGGTAATGTGGGAATATGAAGAAGGCTGCAACAACAATTTAAAAACAAACAAGAAAAAAAAAAAAAATCACGGAAATCCCTTTTTAAAACTGCAACATGAGTTGATTTTCAATTTATGTTTCTTTGCTTTTTTGTTTGCAAAAAAAAAAAGAAGAAAGTTTTCTGTTACTATTTGTGTCTCTCATGTGTGAATTTGTTGATTTTCCTTGCATCAATAAAAGCCACTTTCGAGTGACTTTATTGCGGGTTTTTCTTCACAATTTACAAAACTTTTTTCTCCGCCAATTTCAATTTATGATTTATTGTTTATTATCGGAATGCACAGGTTAAATGGCAAGGCCATATATGCGTAGATTAAACCGTGCAATACATTTTTGAACTTTTTGGGGACAAAAAGTAAAAATAACTGCACAGTCATCGCTTCATTGCAGAACAAGTCGACGATAACCTCCAACCAATATCACTTTGATACCTTCGAATTTCGGCTGTCGTGGCTGACTAAGAAACTGTCAGTCAAAAGTAAGATTTCTTTTATGTGTGGCGTGGTTCGTTGCCGAATCAAGTCCGTAGTTCTTCCTACCCACAATTATTGTTTACTTCAAGTTTTCACCACCCATACACCTTATACTTATATATAATGATTTTGTGAAACTGCTTGTAAAAGTCACAAATTTAATATATGTATGTATATATGTATGCATGTTTTGCCGATTTAGGCAAACATGTCAGTCCGCACTATGCGTTATGCGAACACTTACTACTCCAAGATATGGAAAATTTTAAACGTAATGCATAGACATGCGTACTTAAATTCTAGGGAAAGTGGAGACATACGCGATCAATGTATCAAATCAGATTTAAGTGCTAAATGAAACTTCAATAAATGCAATCATGATTGTTTAAAATAACTGTAATCAAAATATGTACGCATTTCAATACATAAATGCACTGCTAACTAGAGGTTAAGATTTGAAATTACTTATGCACATTTCGACTCAAGTAATACTCAAGCAATTTGCAGCTCTTTTCTGAAATTTGGTATACAAATTTTTGAGCAGGAGTGATTTCAAAACTTCGAGAACCGCTTACAGTTAGCTTACGCTTCTTATGCTTAATCACGAAACCTTATGCCCGCGCGATGGATATCAATTATTCGCTTTAAGGCAAATATAGTTTTTTTTATTTGTTGTGTTTGATTTTCCTTACAAATCCTAAGTGCGCGTTTGTATATATCTATATATATGTTGCAGTTTATACGTGTTCTGAGTGGCAATACATCATCTCTTAAAATTGATTAAAATACCGATACCGACAATTGTAAATAAATCTTGTTTTATTTGCTGTTATTTCCTACTCCCCGGGATACGAGGATATGTTTTTTTTTTTTTTTTTTTTTTTTTTTTTTTTTTTTAAATCTTTAGAAATGCATTTTGGTTTCTTGTGGTAATTGAAATCGTTGCCGTCAACAGCAAAGCAAGAAACAAATAAAAATAAAAACAAGTTTGAAAATAATATTCGGTGGAGACCGAATCTTTTATACCCGCCCATCAGCGTCAACCTAAAGACAAAAAAAAAAAAAAAAAGAGTAGAATAACTAAATTTTCATGCTCTATAATATGGAGTGGGCGCAGCTGTTTTTTCTATTACCATAGATACTACGCAGTTAGACATAAGGACAGACGGACATACTTAGGTGCACAAGAAATTTAAAATTAACCAAAAACTGATACGGCGTTTCTGAAGCTTGTTTTTGCGCCTTATAAAGGCATTAAAAAAAATTAAATTTCGATACACTATAATACTGGGTAGGCGTGGTCACTTTTTTCCGCCTTTACACAGATACTACAACATTTTTGTGTACAAGTTTTTGTACATTTATCTGCTAAAGTTAACGTAAAGTAATGAGCAAAAAACCAATTTTTTATTCCATTTGAAGAACGGAGCTGTGGGCGTACGCCTTAATCGATTTGACCCATTTATAATGCAAATTTACATGCAAGAATTTCTAATGTTTCTGGCAAATTTGAAATCGATAGATGCATTTTTGCGGCCAGGACAATGTTTACAACGGACATTAGACAGACGGACAGACACACTGATCACTAATATCAATATATAAACATATATATATATCAATAATATATATATATATAAATATATATATTGTGGTGTTTCTGATGCATCCTTATGGACGTTGTAGACGTTTCGGCAGAATGAACATACCCGTCATCGTTCGGTGAGGGGGGGTATAATAATGCATACAACAGCGAGCACCTGAAACACACTTTTTACACAATTGCTACCTTCGTTCTAGAATTTAATTAAACTGAATGAATACAGTTTACATAGCTCTATAGGAGTTCATTAATTTCACTTCTCTTTTGACAATTTATTTATTAAAAATTGGAATGCATGTGTAACTAACTCATTTTCAGTCGCTTTGATATTTGTCTACTTATGTAAAGTCCATTTCTGAGAGATTATATTTAATTGCAATTAAAATGCTTAGGTTAAGATTGTATTTTTTTTATTTTTTTATTTTTTTTGTGAAGTAAAAGAAAAAATTTATTGAAACTAAAGTGCTTTTAATATGTTTGTAATTTTGTTTTCCTTTTTTGCTTCATTCTGTTATTTACAGGTTGGTTCTTTAAAGGATTATTATCTCTTTCATAATAAACGTATAACAAAGCGTTCTTTGAGATTTAATAACGAACACCATAGCGCCTTAAAATCAGAACCCGAGGTAATTACTTATATTATTTATTTTATATCCTACACTACTAACAAACTATGATACTTTAATCCCTTCTACTCTTTTGCGAGTTAATGATGAATTAAAGTTCAAAAAAAAAAAAAAAAAAAAAAAAAAACGATATTAATGGTCCTTTCATTCCTATATTCTGAGCACCTTGCTTTTAAAGGATTCGGAGTTTTGTGCAAAGCACATCTCAGTTACACTCGCTTTCGATTAATTGGCTGCCTATAAGAAATTGTCCTTGAATTTTTTCACTCAGATATTGGAAAATGTATTGTAGCCTTATAATTGTAGCCGGAAATTTAGCAGCGTAAGCAGAATTCTATTGCTTTCAATTTGTCTAAACGTCGTTTACTACTCGCAGAGATCGATTGCGATCTGCCTAAACGTGAACTGCGATCTTCAAGCTTGTTGCTGTCTACAAGACAGTAGGACTACAGCATATTTACAACCAACAGATCATCTTGAAACAGTTGTGCGGTTCGAAGCCTGAGATCTTTCGTGCTTTATAAGTTGACAGTGTCCTATGCCGCCACCAGATGCGATCTTCTTACAACACCATCAACGTTTCCCTTCGGAATGGCTATGGCCTGAGTGCCTGACCGAAACTAATGATCTTAACAATGATTCGTTATTTAAAACATGATAATGTTAGATATCGATTGGAACAAAGGTATATAAAGTGCGAGCGTCAGTTAGCCGATCGAGATCAGACATCGTGACTTCACCTAACCTTAAGAAATATTGGTAAATGAACATCTCCTATAGCGTATAGGCTGTATAGGTTTTTCGTCTCTTGCAGAAAATGGACAGACAGTTGAAAGGATACACATATGCATAGATGGCAAAAAGGATGGAGACATAATCACATCTACGTTGTGATGTTTTTAATGCATTCTTCTGGGTGCTGCAAACAGGATGAAATATAATATATTATACTATACACTCTTATGCTATCTCTTTCTCTCACTCTTATACTTATGCAGTTAATTGAATTGATTTTCATAAAAAAGCTTTCATATAGGGACCGCAGTTGTTCACCTAAACCCTATGTGACGTGTTTACTTTATTGCAAATCTAATAAAACGAATAACAATCAAAATTTTATTTTAATAGATATTCAGTTAGATGTCTGCCCTTCAGTGGTATTTGTGTCGTAGATTAAACTTTAACTTGTTAAAACTTGTAATTTAATCTTTTAGGTACGATGGCTGCAACAACTGCATGAGAAAATACGACGCAAACGTGATGGTCCTTTTAGCGCTTTACCTGGCTATGCGCCGTATGATGTTATACGCTCATCAACAGGGTTTGGTGTTAGTTTAACATCACCTCGCTTAGCCTATACACCTAGCGCAGTTTATCATCCCCTGGTACCGCGCGCACCCCGCATACAATATCGTGATGCTGGCACGCGCAGCATATTCCCGGATCCTTTGTTCAAAGAGCAGTGGTACTTGGTGAGTAATGTATGTATGTGAGCAATGTTTATTATTTCGTTCGTTCGTTGTTTCCTATTTATGGATATGGGCAAATCTTCAATCTAATCGCTAACCATAATGCTTAAAAGCTAACCTATCCCAAAAGAGGTAAATTTCATATAACCAGGGAGTTTGGGTATATTTATGATACACCAGAGAGAAATCGTAGACAAGAAAGAAATAAAATGAATGCAGATAAAATGTTTTAAAAAAAAAAAAAAAAAGAAAAAAAAAAATGTAAATAACGTCTATAAAATACATGCTGGTACACACATGCTCTCACGAGCTCTACTTTCTCCAAGCACAGTAAACGAAATTAGAGAAAAAAAAAACTCTTTCGTATCCTTTTAAAGAAGAAGAAGAAAACAAATTTGCTCTCTTACACTAAACTAAACTTTCTTCTTTACTTTTCTTCATATTGAAAATAATTAGAAACAAGAAAAAAATAAAAAAAACAAAAAAATTTCGTAAATTTTCATTTAACTGTAATTCAAAAATTTGTATTTGTTTGCACTTTTCACATTCCGCACGACTGCTTTCATATAAGGAAAGTTTTTTTAGCTTAGTGTTTAGAGATCCTTTTGGGGCAAATTTTTGCAACAAAGAAATTATGAAAATGTATGCGGATTTACTTTTGATTTAATTATTAAGGAAAAAGAGAATAAGAAAATATGATAGCAAAAGTTTATTATTAAAATATATATATATATATATATATATTTCTATATATTTTTATAAATTTATATATCCCCGACTTTTGAATTTATTCGCTTTCTTCTAATTTTTTTGCTTTTTAATAAAATAAAAATAAGAGACAGAAGAATACGAAAACGAGTAATATATTTATGGTTACATTTATATATATATATATATATATATGCGTGTGTGTGTTTGTGTGTGTGTGCAAGCCTTTATATTCTTGCTTTTATAGCACACATGGATATTTATGTTCACAATTTTCCAACTGTAATTTATTTTGTTTTGAAACAAATAACAACAAAAACGAAAAGAGCAACGCCACACCAACTTAGAATATCATACAATTCGTATATAAGCTCCTATACAGCTAGCAGCCAGATAGTGATAATGAAAATAATAAGAAAATGCAGAGTGACTGAGACGAGAACGAAGGAGAGGTGGGAGCGAAAATAAGAAAGTAGAACGAGTAAAGAAACGATAGGACAGACGGACAATCATACAAATATGGAATATTGTTACAGTTAACACAAAATGTTTGGTGTTTCCTTGACGTCTTACACATGATTCCTTAAAGACCACAGAATATTGCACCAGAAACAAGACCACAGAACACACATTTAAAACTGTATATGGTTAGACTAACTATGTAGACCGGGCTTCGTTTATGTGTTGTTATGTGCGTGTATTTCTCTACTATTTTCAAGTTGTTATTGTACATCTTACGGTTATATCATATATATATATATATGATAATATATGTAAGTTCTGTTGGCTGATTATATTGCACACATGCTTACAATTACAATTACGTAACTATATGTATAGCACTATATATGTATATATACATATTTGAGGAAACTCTATAGAAAAGCATAAAATATATTCTTTACCGTCGTTTACAGAAAATATGAACAATTTCTTCATTTTTCTTAGAAATTTCTAATGTGTTGTTATTTCCTTAAGCATTTTCGAGCTGCATGCACAAAGACAAACATTATATAAATAGATCATGTAAACATTAACAACAAACTTACGCATATGCACACATATCCGCACATATATATATATATATGTACATATAAATGTATATGTATATATATATATGTATATAATATATTTATAATTTATATATATATATATATATATAAATATATATATATTATTGTTGCCACTATTGCCGTTATTGTCATCTTTTGTTCTTTCTTGGGAAGTGAAAAGTTTGGTAAATAACTTTTGCTTCTTTACTTTAGTAGTCGACTTTGTTTACCGTACATAATGATTCATTTAAAGTCGATAGAACACACGGTTAATGACAAGAATATAAAATGTACTTTCCGTCGCGCACTTAATTCATTTCATTTAACCAATATATTTCATAAGACAGAGAGAGATAATGAGAGAGCGGGCGAGAATTTCTTAGAAAATATTTAAATAGTAACCATAATCTAAATAAAGTCTTCCCTAAGGTAAGAAATATCGAGAACATAATTTCAATGGACTATTCTCTCCTCCTTCGCTAAGCTTTGCTATATGAGAATATTTAATATGTGATGCGCGGTTTTATAGAGCATAGAGCATAACTCCTAATGCATGCGCCAAGAGTCCTAGGGAAAGATCATAAAACATTACCCCATGAGGATGAGAAAGTAACCTATAAAAATTTCAAAGCTTCGCTTTGATCAAAGTTTCATAAAACTCATGTTGCTTTTAATCGAAAAACGAGCGAAGGATATTAAGTGTCTTCCCGCTTTAATTGGCAATAAAAAGCATTGAAAGAGACTGACATGTTCGTGGTATGTAAAGAATCTTAACATGCGCCAACGAACAGCTTAAGAAAATCCATTGAATCGAATCGCATTGCTATGTCCGAATTTTTAACTTTTTAGCTTTTGTAAAGCATTATAGGGATTGTCTAACTCTCTGGAGGGCGCTGGAGGTTACGCTTAAATAACTTGTGTGCGATCGGCATCGTAGGATTAAGCTGCTAAGGCAGGAACCTAAACCCTAAAGTAAACCCCTCTCTCTCTCTCTCTCTCTCTCTCTCTCTCTCTCTCTCTCTACATATATATATACATTGGGTATTTATTCCAATTATTTTTAAAGCCTAGAGAAAATTTCTTAGGCGTAAACAGCAAATGCTTACTCTAATTGAGCCTAGTCTTTGTAACCTAAGAGAGTTCATAAACTGCGTATATTTTTTGGTTAGACTCTCATTTCAAGTTGATGGAGGCTCATTTACTTGTCCATCCTTCTATATTTGTCTGTCTTCTGTTTCAACTGTACATATATAAAGAAAGAAAGCTGGAATCTTAATGCTTTCTCTTTTGGCGCAGAGGTACAATTTCAAAATATTGGATTTGAATTGAAACCAAACACGAAAAATCCGAATATTACGTAAGATTTTTATACATATTTTCAATATAATTTTAATACAATTTTCAAAATAATTAATCGCCGATCACAGAAGTGTTACTTTAAATTTAAATTAAGCCGAGTCATGTAAAGCTTTGTAAAGGTTAACCTAATTGTCGCCCAAACGCGTATATCAGAAATGAAGAGAAACACGCAACGCAAGTTTTTGAGCTAATAGCAATCTGAGCAATAATCACTCTTACATATATGTATTGCAAACGCTTCAATATCCAAGAAAGAGCAAACGAATCTTTAGATCGGTTGAGAAAACAAAAAAAAAAAAAAAAAAAAAAAAAAAAAAATGAATTAAAATTGATTGAGGTCAGGAAGAAAGCCTTTATCTTTGATTAATTTTATTGACCTGCAAGTGTCTTTATAACAGAGAGTCAGCAATAAGCCAAAGAAGGAAAAAAGTCATCTTACGCAGATAATATTTACAATAATCTTGCGTTGTTAATAAAAAGTTACCAGTAGTTTTCGTCTGCTGTATCTGCCGTATCTGCATTAATCTGCTTCAAGTGCTAATTCTACTAATTTGTTTTTCTCTTTTCCACACAATTTGTAGCAAATTTCCTTTAAAGCGAAACAATATATTATTATGCTGTCCAGTTACTTCCATTTGTATATTTCCCGTTTTGATTTTTTTTCAATTAAAATGTTATTAGTGACTGGAGAGTGGAGAATACTAGAGAAAGAAAACAAGGATATATGCCAACACTCTTATATATATGTACATATATATATATATATATATATATGCAAGTATATGTATATGCATATATACCACAACGTGTACGAGACACGTAATGACTTAACAAATAAACTAGTTTTTAATTTATTTATGCTCTTTGGCTTTATCTCTCACTTTCTTTCTTTTTTGCTACTTTCCTTTCTTCAGTAATTTTCCGTTTTCCTTTGCATTACTCTTTGGCATTGTTTTTTCTTTTCTTTTTTTTTTTTTTTTTTTTTGTTTCGTTATTATTATTATTATTATTATTATTATTTTATTCTTCCCTTTTTTTATAATCAATTTACTTTATTAATGTACACCAACACTGTATCTGATTTCGTTGTTTTTTCTGCTTCTCTTTCTCTTTTTTTTTTCTCTTTCTTTCTCTCTCGCTTCTCTCTCCCTCTCTCACTCTCTTTCTCTCTGTTTCTCTTTCTATTTTTATATCCGTTTGGCTCTCAACACTGACGCTGCGTCCTTGTATTGGGTATCCGAATGTCCTGGATTTTTTTTTTTTTCTTCGCAACATCAACAATAATAATAATAACAATAACAATAACAAAAACAACAACAACAACAACAACAACAACAACAACAACAAACAACAATTGTACAATTTTATAATAACAACAGAACGGTGGCGCCAAAGATGGTTTGGATATGAATATTGAACCGGCTTGGCAGAAAGGTTACACGGGCAAGGGTGTCGTTGTTTCAATATTGGACGATGGCATACAAACAAATCATCCTGACCTTGCTCAAAACTATGTAAGTAAACAATATAACGTACAATTTATTGTATTTTATATATATATATATGTGTGAATACATTTTATACATTTGTGTTTTTTCCCCTCCTGTCCAACGTTTTAATAAATTCAATAAAAACTTGAAACTATTACAATTGCATTAAATCTGGTTTTAATCAGCTTATGACGCATATCCGATCAATTAATATTGTCTCTTAGATATATTGCTTATTTTTTTAACCACAAATGCGATATGAGGGCGCGTGATGGTGTAAATATACCCTTGATTAACGAAATATCTTACGTTGAGTAATCCAAGTACGCTTGCCTGCCCATTTTTTTTTTTTTTTTTTTTTTTGTTTTTTAGATCTGTCCACGTGTTGTCTGTTGTGTAGTTCATACTATATATGCCTAGTTTTTTCTCGCCTATGTGGTTGCGCTCGTTGATTTTCAAGTACACTAAGAACTCCTTAAAAAATGTTTATGTAACTTTCATAATTTCAAAGAGTTTGAATTTGCAAAAGTTGTTTTAATAGATGCTTGCATCTATTTTGATCAGTGAAATCTATTGTTGAAAATGATAAAGTAATGCAAAGTATTATTGCACACAAGGGGTAAATTTCGTAATTTGCACATTTCTCTATATATAGAATAACCGTTTTTCCGTTTAGTATTATTGAGTATTTCGGTGTATAAGGACGATAACCGTGGAACGCTCCTAGCTTATCTTTTACATTTGCTTAGAAATGGTGACTTTGATGTCACTGTTAAAAAACGACCTGAAGGGTCAGAAAAGTTCAATAACAATAGATTGCAAAACTTATTGGACAAAATCCCAGGTCGAATTTTCAAAGAGTTTTCAAACAGCTTCAACTGTCTCTGGACATTCACATCCGATGAGAAGAGATCTGAAAGGCGGGAAAATGGCTACCATGCAAGTTGAACTGACTGAAACCGTCATTTCGAAACGTTTCAATATCGCGGTAGTATTCCCTAACAGGCAAAAAAACAACAGTCCTCTGCGGCGTATCGCAAACGACAGTCTTAAGCGCAAGAAGTCATCGGTTAGTCCAGGAGAGCTATCCACACCGATATTGCAGCGGAATTCATTCATTGTCGTAAAATTTCGTTGTGCATACGATGATATTAGCAAGTCTTACTGTATTACTAGGTACTAAAACACAACGAACAATGTCTACCGACGTCAATTCATTAACATGAACGATTTATTGTTGCGAACAAAAGATCTTAACTTATGTAAAATCATCCTTTTGCATGACAACGCTCGGGCACCGGTTGGAAGAACTCTCGAGGATACGTTGTTACTACTCGAATGGGAAGTTCTGTTGCACCCAGCGTACTCACCAAGGTATAAGGACTTCTGATTGCCACTTGTTCCGATCGCTGCCGCATGACTTGGCAGGCACGCGATTTCAAAATGCTGAAGAAGTGCGAAAATGGATCGATGATTGGGTAACTGCTGGACTATTACTATTCTTTCTACGCCGTATCGCCGCCACATTGCCAGAAAGATGGGACCAAATTCTCGAAGAAGATGGAAATATATTGACTAAGATATGTTGGATCAATTTTTTTTTATAAACGCCTTTTTCAAGTGTTAGGCGCTTGCAGCTAACAAAAGACTTGAAAATTATTTTAACGTTTGCTTAGAAAGCATATTTTTTAGCAAGGAGGCGATCATACGTCTATCCGTCCGTTTGTTGTGGGCATTCGCATTGTCTTCAAAATGGGGACAAATGACTGACACTTGCCGCCTATGCTTTTCATTTCTATAGATTTACATAATACTAAAAAAGGAAAAAAGAAGAAACGAAAATAAAAATGAAAACGATAAGAACCTCATCTCAATTTGAATTGTTTGAGTTTGTTGCACAAATACCTGATGCTGTGGATTTTAAATCTGTAGCAAAGATTTGCTAAAACCGTTCGAGACTTTCGTGTGAAAATGCTCCACCCGAATGTTCTTATCTGCTATACTCCTCATACTACACTGAATTATCAAATATTTATGATTATTATGTTATTTGCTTGAGGAGAGAGAAGATATTCATTAAAAATGCGTTTTGCGGTCAGCATAATTTTCTTATGTTAGGTTACATGTTACTATTTGTTTTTTTTTTTTTGCTTTTGTTTTTGTGTTTTTCATCAAAAATTCATATATCTCAAAAACCAAGAAACAAAAACAAAAAATTTGATTTATTTACTTTATAAGTTTTCATTTTATTACTGAATCCGCCTTCCTATACGCCTCTCAAACGGAAATTCGTAAACTGTAAAAATTATTTTTTCCTTTGTCTGTCTCATTGCTTTCTTTCAAATATTTCTTTCCTATTATTATTTATCATGCAGATAAAGCAGCATGAAAATACCATTTACGTTATTACATTACTTGGCAGTGTAATTTGTTTGCATAAATTATATGTAAATGTATGCGAAAACACAGCCATAAAAATACGAACTCTTCAAGTTTGAAAAAATAAAAAAAATTCTTCAGTTTTCGTTATTAGTTTAGAAAATGGTTTTCTATTTTTTTTTTTTTAATTTTTTTTTTTAATTTTTTTTTTAATTCCATATCTTCCCTACGAGTCCAAAAAAGGCCTTCATAATCCTAAGCAAAAAAAGCTTTCAATAAACTGATTTTAATATATGCATGTACATGTTCTGATAGTATTTTGGCTAAGTGAGGGCATAAAATATATTCAGCGAAATATTTCTCTCTTTTGAAATTACGGTCGTGTAGCCAGGATGGCTTGACGACTAAATTTGTCGTATCAGATATCAAATAGAGCAAATGCACATTAAATGCATGTGATTCGTGTGAGAGGTTCTCAACAGATTTGTGACTGTCTCTTATTTGCCGTATGTTAGCATTCACGCATCCATGACCGTCCCGCTAACGAGGCTGGGCATTCATTCCGCATTAACATTTAATTCACTCTTAAGATTAATCAATTGTTCACTGCGTCAGAAGACGAGATATATTACCTTTTTTTTTTTTTTTTTGATAGGTTTGTTCGTTTAATGGCATTCCTTATACCCTTCACCGCCTGTAATATAAGGTATATTGAGACTTAAGATTGAGATTTGCGCATGTCTGCCGATTTCCTGCCAACCAAATTTGTGATCGCAAATATTTGATTAATGTTTGGCTCAAACATTACAAGAAAAACCCTACTACCATATTAATGGAGACCATTAAAAATGGATTGCAATATGTTTACGAACACTCCCCACATTTAAGTCCGATCTTGAAAAATTAGTTAAATGAAATGAAACAAAAAATTGCGTTTTTCGTAATAGCTGACCCAATATATATATATATATATAATATATGAACCAACCGTGCGACGCTTTTCGTCGATAATCAATCCTACGAAAAGTAAAGTATAACTTTCAACCTTTGATATTTTATCACGTAAATATGGAGGGAAAATTGTATTAAGCGAACTTGTGTACGACGTTTAATAGACGGCCTTACCCAACTAAAATGCTTTTACTTGCTTCTATTTAATATAAGCTTAGGTCTATAAGCTAACTTCGCGAATGGGCCCGATCTATCTGAAATAATCTGGATTAGTTCGCCTAATATTTTAGTATGGACTCATCACCTAGACTCAAGACCTAAAAGAATTAAAGATATGACCTTTACTTATTAGCACCACGCGTCTAGGTTCGGTTAAGAATCGAGGCTAAACGCGTCCACTGCACATGTACAAATAGAAATACATATATATATACATAATACTATCAGGAGATAAGTTAGCAATAATTTTGTCACATCCCGCCCAGTATATAAAAGTACGTGGCATTCTCACTTAATTTAATGATTTTTACTACATATATCGATCTTTTACGTTCTTGTTGAAACCTATACACAGTTAAATCTTTAATTTTGACATAATGGGCTAAATAGAATCTCAAAAGTTTTCCAAAGACTGGACTGGAATTAAAAATCTTTTTCTCACCTTTAAGCATTAAGTTGCGATAATTGAACAGCCATAAGCTTACGAATAAATAGAAAAAAATCCAAACAGGGTTCCTCGTTACGATACCTGGATGTAATCGGCCAAGTTAACGAATTTTTATTAAGTCAATTATCATTGTTGTGCATACAAGCTGTAAAAGAAGTGCGTGTCCAGAGCCCCTAAACAATAATATGTTCGAACTAAAAACCCCTACGCTTACATCAATTGTGTGCTTGTGCTTGCAAGTAAACACGTCTATCATACAGATTGAATAATTTAATCGAAAACGAACTCTTCCCAAGAAATTGTTCGTATCGCACTGAATGGGAACCCTTCAGCTTTTCCCCAGTTAGGTTTGATATTGGCACATAGATCACCAGTTCCCGATATATGAATCCATCTGGTATATAGTCATATGCTAACCAAAGTAGTACTTTGGGCTCTTAAAGTGATTAAAGCAGCGCGGCGATCAGGTTGTCCAGACGGTCATCCTTGCGTGGAATTGCTGGCTACAGTTTTTGCTATAGCGAATTGAGCATCTTTTTCCTAACTGCTGAGAACAACTGTTCAGGGAAATGGGTGGCGGCTATCGTGTTGCTCCCATAATCGTGGGAATATTAAATATTTAAGGTGTTGGATGGACCTCGTCTCCGTCAGAGGGAAGGACATGCTATACACCCATCCTCATTCCGGAACTAGGAGCGAGTATCCCCTGCTCCGTGTGTTGCGTGAGAAATGCTTTCTCACTCCGTGTACCATCGGGCATCGTAGGCTTGAGTCTCCGCCACATACGATACTTATTAGTTTTTCTCTTTGCATGCATTCGGTTAGTCGGAGTCAAAAGCGATATACAAATACAACGCTTTCGTTGTTGTGAAGTTCATGTCTCCGGAAATTTAATTTAAAGTATTAAAAGGCTCGTTTATTACAAGAATCGTACAAGACGGAGTAGTAGTAGTTTCATAAATACAGTCTCTCGGCAGCAGCATATCCTTTCGCTCGCAACTTTTCAGCTTATTGCGTTAAGTCTTGTGTGTGACCTTTTGATTTCGATTTAGTTGTTTTCATATCATCAATCAGTCTTCGTTGCCATTTTCCATTAAAGAATGAAGTCATCGCTTATAATTTCTTTGTCAAGAGGAGTATTCCTCCCCTTATATGCAACCGCCAAAGTTATTTCATAAAGCGTTGCAATTTGGAGCAATCGTAAAAGTCGTTTTTCTTTTTCTTTTCAATGCGTGAGCAACGAAAGAAATTCACTTTTTACTGTTACGCGTGGACTTAGCTATTTAGCTTAATTCCTTAAGTCGTGTTTTTCGTGTTTCGTTCGTTTCATTAGGAGATAAAACTTTTCGGGTGAACGTGATTCTAATTCGAATTAAATCTCGATTAACACTCGATTGTCTATCTTGCAAATAATATTTCGTTTCCAATCGCGTGATTAAGACGAATTAATAGACAAATATTCCTCTTAATTAACTGATGGTTTTTCTGTCCGATCGTTAACCATACGTCGTCAAGTTACGTGAAAACTAGTACTGCTTATCTTGCAATGTTTTTCTTCTTTCTTTTTTTTTTTTTTTTAAAGAAATGAAAGCAAAATTAATTTAATATACATAACGTAAATAAATGTAAAGAAAAAAAAACAAAAAAACAAAAAACTAAATAAATGCAATATTTTACGATCTGTTTCCTTTCGTGGCACTAATCGTCAATTTTATGACATTAAAGCAAAAAACTCTTACGAAAACTAGACGAAGAAGAAAAAGCAAAAAAAAAAAAAAAAAAAAAACAAGAAAACAAAACAAAAAGAAAGAAAGTCTATTAAAATCTATATATAAAAACTTTAAAGAGGAGAGAGTTAGTTGTTCTTCAATCTCAAAAATTTCATTACAAGCTCGTAAAAGTGTTTTTCGAGTCAGCACAACAATAAAAAACAAAATATGTATTATATATGTACATAAAAATTGTGCAAAAAATAAACTCCATTATTATATTAAGAAATTACTTCACATATCAAGTCATGAACCATTGTGGATAAAAACCGGATGTAAAGATATGATTTCCCATATATGGACTTTTCTTTTTCTCTATGGCATTTATAATAAAGTTTCATTCACTTCTTTCCTCTTCTGTCTTTTTTTCATATATGTTGACTTTATTGTGATTTTTTTTTTGTTTTTTTTTTTTTTTTTTTAATAAGCTAAAGCATTCTTCATAAGATAAAGAAGCAATTCAATGATTTAATAGCATATCACAAAGTGAGAAGAAAAAAAAAATGTATATATAAAATTTACTAAATCCTCAAGAATATATATAAATCAACACATCCTTCTATCTACACATATACATCGTAATGCATCATAACAATGTCAATGTTTATGACAATGATGCATTTTATTCCCTGGATACCATTGTATATAAATCTTATGCTGTTATACTAAAGTGCAAAAAGAAATATATATATATAAGTAATAATAAAATAAAAGCATGAGAATAACCCTTCTATGCAGCTGACAAAAAAGAAGAAGAACAAAAAATTCGAAATACACTTTTGACGTGAATCAAAACTTAACAAAAAAAAAAAAAAACGCGATAAATAGATCAATCGACTCGCATAAAGATGAACGAGTTTCGGTGACTGCATAAGAAAAGGAATACAAATATGGTATTTTGAAGTAAGTCCTAATACCTTCATCTTCAACTTCATACTTAATTTGATTAGAAGATTGTTCGTTACCTCTCCTACGTAGCAAACTTTTAATGTTTGAATAACCTGAGGAATAAATTGCAAAAAAGCAAAGGATTAAAAGTAAATTTAAAGCTCAAGCCGTAGATCCTTTAAATCATCTCTAATTCTGGCATTCATTTTCTTCCCGGTTTTTTTCTACACATATAATGTAATAAGTGTAAAAGTGCATTATAGAATATTTTAGAGATATAACTACAGAAGGTAAGGCCAGTATTTGAAGGACACATTTAAAGCTATCGGACAAATGCAACCACACTATAATATCATTTGGGAAGCCGTCATAACATCTTCTCTACCGGCAGCGTTGATACAATTCATTAAGCCTTCCCTGCATATATGTAATAAAGTCTTTGGTCATTCACTGATCAAACATAAATTGATCGTCGGTATTGAAAACTGTCGTTAATAGCAATACCAACTAATCAAGTAAAGCAAACGAAGAAAAAACTCATCGGAAACTCTTGTTACTTTTTGATCATGACATGCATTGTTTTAAATATGCGAACTGAACAAACAAATTTCAAAAACTTTCAGTCTAACTAGAAATGTATTTGTGAATAACTTTCCATTTACAACACAAATCGATTTCAAACTTATGCACAAAGTATGTAAAATTTTATGAAACAAACAAAGGACGCAATTTGATCTCGGTTTATACACATTGCAATTCATAATGCGTGGATGGGTATAAAAAATGCACTCTAACTTACATTAAATTATTTTTTTTAATAAACTATTCGCCAATGGCACCTGAAAATTTTCGCTTAAAACTACAAATTGCAAAAAAATATTCAGTGTATATTGTCCGCTGAGAACGATCTTCACTAGTTGTTACTCTACTTTATTCGAAATATTGGATGCAAAACTGTTCCTGACTCGATCTAATGATCGAAACATAATTTAAAACAACAAAAAAAAGTGTTCGTTTGTTACGTTTACCTATCTGATTATTGTCGTCGTATGTAAAGAAAATTTCTAATCCTCTTCGGTTCCAATCATTTTACGTACAAATAAGCGCGATCTCCTTCCTTTTCCAATCGTGCCTTCATTATATGAAATTCGTCGAAAAAACAATAATAAAAGAATAATAAAAAAAAAAAATAAAAAAATCAATCATATAATCTACGATATATCCAATTTTTGTGTCTTCCATCATTCTGCCAACATAGCCGTCGGTATTAATATATAATATGGAATAAATTTAAACAAATTGTTGAATAAATTTAAACAAATTCTTCCAACAACAAGTGATACGATAGGTAAATTTATTAAAGGTATCTATCTGTCTTTTCCGAATTAACGGTTTCTGATTAAACGGTCGGGCTTTAGCATGATTGTTCACCGACGAATTGTAATTCAAGTTCAATGCGACAATTTGTTGAAGTTGAAGAAGAAATAATGACTAATTTAATGCATTACCTGACAGAGAGGCAATTGACCCTTAACTATACTTGACTAAGCCTAAGCGTAAGTTTGAACGACATGAACTTACAGTTTTTAAGAGAGAACATCTTTCCCAAAAATGAGTTCGCTTAGAACATTCGTACGCATCCACGAATCACTTTCAGACAAAATGTTGTTCGCCTCGTCATTCGTTCGTTTCGTACGTTGCTGGAAATCTTACCTGCCGTGGAGAACATAACATGGACCTTAGTTGATGTAACACACGCGCTCTTTATTAAAGCTTGCGAATCTCTCAAAAACGTGCTAATGCCGGCAATATTTCGAACTTATATACGAGTCCCATTGCAAATGTCATTGTTCGGTCGACGGTCTGACTGGCCTAAGGAAAGATGAACTAAAACAAAAAAAAAATATTTTTTTTTCTTAATTATTTTAGTTGACATACATCATAAGGTGCGTCTCTCGGGATATTTGTATTTGTTTTTAAAATTGAAAAATTTTTTTCAATTTTTAATAAAAACAACTTAGAAGAGAAGGTGACGACTACTACTACTACTACTTAACAAACTGTTTGTATATTTCCTTTTTTCGACAGGACCCTGATGCTTCGTTCGATATTAACGGTAACGACTCGGATCCAACGCCGCAGGATAATGGTGATAATAAGCATGGTACCCGATGTGCCGGTGAAGTGGCAGCCGTGGCTTTCAATAATTACTGCGGCGTCGGTGTGGCTTACAATGCCAGCGTTGGGGGTAAGTAATAAGCATTTCGTTTTTTCCTTTTTTTTTTTTTCATATTTACCGTTTTGCTTTCAAATTGAAAAAAAAAAAAACAAAATATTAATTATACAAGAAACGAGCATATGAAAGAAAAGAATTCTTAACTCAGCGTCAACTTCGATAGCATCTGACTGAAACTGAAATGTGTGATTAAACGTAAAGTGAAAGAATGTTATTATTATTATTTATTTATTTATTTATTTATTTATTTTTTTTTTTTTTTGCTATAGATTTAAGTTAAACGGTTTGCAGCTCTTGATTTTAATTTCAAACGCGAATAGACAGCCGATCGGTCAGAGATTTTCAATGATTTTCCAAGCTATGCGAAGGAAGTGTAGTTCCCCGAAATAAAGCAATAACTATAATACAATTTGTCTACATAGCAACATACATACATAAGCCTTATGTTAATTTATGCTAACCTATTATGTTTAACCGATCCATTATCTCCACTTTTCGTACACGTTGTTACAGCATTCCTTTCGTTCTTTTCTTATTTTCTTGTTACTACGATAAACAATTGTTTGTAAAGCCTTCCAACTGTTATCATCATTATATGTAACAACCGCTTCTACTCTTGCAAAAAAAAAAGAAAAAAACAAATCTTTTTGTTTGTACTTTGACTTTAGTAAAGTAAAAAAAAAAAAAAAAAAACAAAAAAAAAAACAAAAACAAGAAAAATAAAAGAGTAGATAGACGTGTAAACACATGTACATATATATATATAAACTCGTAAACAAAAAACATATTGAACATTCCAGTGGCAGCATAAATTTGTATAGTTGTGAACATCGTTCTAAACAAACATACGTTCACACATGCAAACAACCGCTTATTTTGTTATTTGCAAAAATGATTATCGCCAGCACAGCTGTATTCCAGCATATAAACATAATGTTGTGTAAATACTGGCATCATATATATGCATATATAAGTACGACACACACGGGAATGCCATTATACTGTTTGCAGTCTATGCAAGAAGGTGGTGGTCGGTCGGTCGGTCCCTATCAATTTTCAAATAATTTAAAATTTTCAAGCAAAATAAAGACAAAAATCACAAACTTTCGCTTCAGCTAAGTGAACACACACTTCCCAAATCATCGAAGAGTGTGCGACTTTCTTCTGTTTTTTTTTTTTTTTTTTTTGTCACAATATCGAACAATATTGAGCTTTCCGTTCCCAATGCGGAAAACGCATATTAATTAATCGAGATAGCAAGGCAAGTATATTCGCTTTGCAGCGAATCACATCTCTCACATCTCTTAAACGCTAAGTGCGTATATATTGTGTCCGAGACAAGTCATAGACTGTTTTTGATCAGCCAGACTGTATACGATTGTCTACTTGGCGTAAGGCAAGCTTACTAGATAGGCAGAGAGGCTCTTTCCTCAGCATCACTTTAAAGACTTGGTTTTTTTTTTTTTTTTTTTTTTTTTAAGACTTCATGACATGACTTCATCTTCCGGCACTTAACTGACCAGGCTTAAAACATTTTTTTACATAGCGTCTCTTCATAATGTTTTTGTTGTTTCAACAATAATTGACTGCCGTTCATCGTATAACATTCCGTTCACAGAATGCCTTAATATTTTATAGCTGAAGTCAATTAGAATGTTCTTGACAAGCAGTTTGACGTATTTTACCCACACTAAACTCGTTGTGGAATAAAAACTAGAAAGTTGCAGTAATTTGAAGTGCAATGGATTTACACTGCTAAGGTTATGGAAAATTGAAATGACTCTGATGTGTTTGTCAATAGTGGCTAGACTTTTTAAATCGGCCCAATAAATCAACATTTCGTCACTTAAGATTTATATAATAGAAATATAAATAGATAGGAAAAAGCAAAAGGCACGATTTTTGCCTTCTCTAGCGAAACATGGACAACTGGAGCCAATTCGTTTTGTCGTGTTTTCTACCTAGGTTTGTGCTCCCAAGTAAATGTGATTTGTGTGCGTGTGTTATGATCCGGAGCAAATTATAAAAAGAAAAAAAATTTTGCAATCGGTGTACCTCTCCTTAATTTCGATCTTGTATACGTCATTGTTGCGCCTAATTGTTGTTAATCTTTTCGCGAATCGCCAGCTGCATGGGATAGATGCACCTAAGGCCTCATGATTCTGTCTTTAATTTTTCTTTTCTTTGATATTTAGTTTCTTGGAAAATCGACTAGTTTTCCATTACCCATCCTACTAAACTCTCAAATATACGTTTTTCGTAACAACATTATTATGAGCAACATAACCTCTGGTACTTACATGCAGAGAAATATATTCGAAAGCTACTTTCGTTTATCGTCTGTAGTTTATAGCAGAACATGAAAAATTCCATAATGATAAGTAAAGAATTTTGAGCCGATTTAGCCTAATCTGTCCGCCTGCACTTTCTCTGGAATTTCATGTATGTTTTTTCTCAGCTGGAGTCGTAGAACCAGTTAAGATAGCTATTGTTCATAAACATGACCTGCCATAAATGTTTGTGTCACACACACACGCACACACACACACATACATACATACACACACATACACACATACACACATTTAACATATACAAGGATATACAACGTTCTTCTTATTTGTGTCATTTAGATTATGTGCAGATTTACTCCATAAAGGCGTTAACTTGTTCACGCATGTTTTCGTCGCATAGAGTTTGCATGGGTGTTGTTGAGTTGTCCTTGGAAAAGCTTAAGTCACTTCCAAACTATTTCGTAAATTTGTAGACGATATCTTCATTTTCGCTAATGAATTTTTACCACAGATACTACATAATTGCGCAGACAGACAGCTGGACAAATGAACAGACGGAGATATTTTGCTGTATTCCAAATTTGAAACTGGACACGAATTTATATCATTTACGGGGGGGTTTTGAAAGTTGTTTTGATACGTTATAATATTGGATAGGCGTGGTCATTTCTTTTCACTTTTATATATATATATATATGCCTTTAAGTTTTTGTACATTCCTGCATTATCCTTCCTTAGCAGTAGGGGCCTATGCCAAGATTAAATATGAAAGATTAGGTATGGTCCGAACTTTCTTCTCTGGGCAAGGTAAGGCCTATCTCGCACGTCTAGTTATTTAGTGCCTCCGCGTCATGTTGTCTGAAGAAACCATAACGCTCCCCGAAGCCTCGTACCCAGCAGTCAATAACTTTATCGCTTTCCATGCGCATTTAAAAATTTGTAAGGACATTCTTTGTGGATGGAGCGGACTCAATCCCACTGTCTTCTATACTTCGCACTATAATGCTTTCAACTATAATGTTTTCAAAATTTACAGGGAATAGTATCAACCCAGCATTGCCAAGCATCAAGTCAAACTACTACTTCTTTGGCTGCTCTCATATAATATCTCACACTTGTGTTAAATCTTGAGGCTGCATAGTGATCGATTTCTTACTAAAGAAGTCTGCAAGCAGACGACTTCTGATACTTTCAATGACTTCGCCTTTGTGGGTTTCCGCCACCGGGAATGCAAGTGTAGTCAAGTTTAATTGACTGACGAAAAAATAGATCGATCTCAGACTTCTGAATATTTCCAAAGTGTACGAAAAGCTTGCGTCATGGATCCCGCGAAATCGCATAACTTTAAAATCTTTAAAATCAAATTCCAATGTTAATTTTGTGCAGCTATCGTTAGAGTCGAGTCGAGTGTCATACATATATCAATTGAAAATTTTTACTTTAGAAATGCGTCGATTAACTAAAAGTACTTTCAACTATAAAAGAAAAAAATAACAAAGATCTCAAAGAATTTAAAAAAACAAAGAAAAAAAAAACAACTTTAACAGTTTCCATTTTGTTAACAAGCTTTGAATGTCATAAAGAAAACTCAATGATAATTTTAGTTCGAAGAAAACTCTAAGGCAAACAACATTGCATCAAAACTGTTTCCTTCAGCCCCCTCAATAAAAACTGAATAAAAATTTTTCAAATATCAAGCAACAACATTGACGATTGCTTGTATCGTGTTAATGTCTACAATGCGGAATATCAAGACATCTACTCAGACAACAAACCTCTTGTAAAATAATATAATAAAAAGAAAAGAAAAAAAAAAAAAAATACGAGCAAAAACATTAAATAAGAAAATTATGTTCGGTGAACACGACTTTTGGATACTTGGGAGCTAAGATAAATTTCAAAAATGAAATCTAATCGAGATAAATATTTTAGTTTATTTCGAATGTCGACAAATTGAATGAAATGAATTCAAGGTCATAAAATCAATCGACCGAAATTTCAAGAGTAAATTATTGCGACATACTTTTACTTATCTTCAAAGGCTTAACTCATCTTGACCTTGATTGAGACGGCATCAGTATCAAGTAAATATGAAATCACAACTTTGTATAAAGAAATTCAAATACATAGCTTCTCCATGGGTGCTAGGTACCTTTTTGTGTCTTCACAAATTTTTCGATATAATCTCGCTACGCTTGTTCGACAATGAAGGCAGTAAATGCATCGGCAAGGAAGTGCATCATATTTTGGTCTCCTCTTCCCGTGTTGAAAATGTAATTTACAGACGAGACAAGTGAATTCAAAACGAGCAAGCAAAACGAGTTTAATGACATTCGATAATCTTTCCTACCTTTAAATCATGTTTACAATCGTGAAACTTTATCAAGAACAGTAAATATTTTATAGGATAAACTGTAACCGTACACTTCATTAAACCTGAAGGAGCTTTGCTTGTTAATTACTCTTAAATTTCTTCTTATTAGAACCCCAAGTTAAATTCCATTCAATGGTTCGTTCATAAGAACTGTTTTAGTTTGCAAGGTATTGATGAAATTGTTTCTTTGAAAGTTGTTTTCATCATTTGACTTGAAGCCGCTCTTAACCGAATTTGTTTCTTTTTTTCTTTCTTTTTTCTTTTCAAAAATTTTCTCAACTTTATATGAAAAACTATGAAAGGTCGAAATAAGATCCGAGAGCTTTAATTAAAAAAAAAAAAAAAAAAACCCTTTGTTTTGGCAAGAGTAGCCTCGACCTTAAATTGTCTTTTTAAATAATTATTGAAAAAAGTATCATCGAAACATGGATAACATATTTCAATTACAATACGATATTAATGATCGTTCATTAAAAAAAAAAAAAAAAGCACAAGATGCCTTCCTGCATCTCCTCCTCCTCCATCGACCAGAGTTTCAATATTCTTTGCCAATTTTTTCCTCCGGAAACGTAAGATAACTGACACAGATTGTTCAAAAATGGCAATCAATACATTAATTAAATATGTGTGTACGTGTGTTAGTAGCTTTTTAAATGTACTCTATTCAATTTTACACAAACCAAATGATGCATTTTATTTGAGCGATTTAACGTATATGAAAATTGTACACATATTATGATGTTTTTTTGAAAGTAAATGAAAGAAAAAATGAAAGCAACACATGCATATATATATATATATATATCACACATACATTGATACGGTTCGGTGACTGCGTGTATGCATATTTAAGATGTTTTGTCAATATTTTTACAAAGTGTCAGCGACACTTTGTGCGGATCTCAACGGATGAAACGAAAAATTTTCAATTATTTCTGCACACATACACAAATACGTTCATGTGTTTGACGAAGAGCAAAAAAAAAGAAAAAAAATCAAATAAAAATGGATTCAACTTCTTGTCTGTGAAAGCTTCTAAGAAACGCTTACTTTGTACTTTCAATGTTTACCACGTAACGTAAGCATCAAATATATATGTGGGTGTGTGAGGAAAGCGAAAAGAAGGGAGAGAGGAATAAAATGTAAACTTTTAAAACTTTCACCCTTGTGTAAACTTTATGCATACAAAGACTTAAGTAGTAATAGAAAGTTCTGTTTTGGGTGGTAAAAGTGTTCGTTGCTTTTTAGTACACTTTGTGGATAGGTAATGGCGTTCGTTAAACCCTTAGGCTCTTTTGTAATCAAAACGATCAACTTAAGGCGTCATGATGAAATTGAAAGCTTTTTTTTTTTTTTTTTTTTTTTTTTTTGCTTTTCCTCCCTTTAAAAACAAGGTGTACACAGTGTTTACAAAGTTATCATTCGCTCTATATATACCCATATAGCGACACTTAGGTATGAGAGATAATAACCGCATTCATGCTATGTAAGCCTTTGGGTTAATTTCTTTTCTTTTTTTTCTTTTTTTTTTTTTCAATATTTCATTATACATAAAACCTTATCGGTGTAGGCGACATAATATAATACTAGTCGTAAGCGTATGCGAAGTTGATGACATTTTTTTTTTTTTTTTTGGTATAATCACTTTTCTAGTAAGTAAGTTTATCAAGCGTCAAAGTTGGATTGCATTAAATTTTATATAACTGAAATCAATTTTCTTTAATTTCATATGACAATAAACAAAATATAAAAATGCTTTGGTACAGTATTCTTCAATGATGTTTTATAGGCGATAAAACAAAGAACTACAAAACTCAAATCATTAATATAAGAAAAGCAAAAGAAAATAAATGGAAATGAATTTTGCGTCCTTGTTAATCAATTTGTAATATCGTATAAGGAATTATAGACAAAATTTATGAATTCAGCACAAAGCTTACGAAATATATTTTGCTCAAGAGTGCTGCTGACACAAATATATAGCGTGTATTCAAGTGATCGAGCCTCGTACCGAATTACTCTATAGGTAGTTAAATTAGTGAAGCCTACACGCAAATATATGTATATATATACATATATATATCGGGAGATTTAAGCATTCTTATGTATAAAACAGGGTCAAGACAAGTCGAAAATTTACTCATTAGAATGCTGCACACATGGAACAGAGAAACAAGAGACTTGTTGTAGCAATTTTTGAAAAATCACTCGCAATTTCGATCAGATATGGCAAAGCTATTAAACGCTATTATTCAGACGGTCGCCTGAGACAGCGTAACGTTAACAGGCCTATTGAAGCGCTTTGTTTATCGATTATGTAACTATTTATTGGCCAAACGAAAGACACATGCTCGCCAATTAATTGCTTTAACAGTACAACAGTATCTGCTTTCTCAACGTTCCTAAGTAGTCGTCGCGACGATTGCCGCAATTTCGATCGCATAACACGCTCTCAGGGCTGTCCGATCTTACATAGTACTGTCGGTGAACGGTTATTTACTGTTAAGTGCATTTTTTCGAAAACCAAAAAAAAAAAAAAAAAAAGAAAAGAAAAGAAAAAGTAAGTAAGTAAGTGAAAGAATTGTTTTTGTACTTTTTGCATATCAATCTGACCTCGTATGTGCATGCAGAGATTATGCAGCAACGCATCAGAGGAAACAAAGATACATTTACTCTTTGTTTTGTTTTTTTGTTTTTTTTTTTTTTGCTCTTTGCTACATTCGATTATTATTGGGTTTTCATTTACCCCCGAAATAAAGATTGGCGCAATACGCGCCGCAACGATGGCATAACCTTTTATTGTGAATTTTATTTTCGTAACTTTTGTTTTCGTTGATATTTATTTACAGGCGGGCAAGTACTTGTATTTATTTATGCCAACTCTTGTTGTTTTTCAGGTGTACGAATGTTGGATGGTAAAGTGAATGATGTGGTTGAAGCGCAAGCTTTAAGCTTAAATCCTTCACACATTGACATCTACAGTGCTTCATGGGGTCCCGAGGATGATGGTTCAACGGTCGATGGTCCTGGCCCTTTGGCACGTCGCGCCTTTATTTATGGTGTAACGAGCGGTCGGCAGGGTAAAGGTTCAATATTTGTTTGGGCATCCGGCAATGGCGGTCGTTATACAGACTCATGCAATTGCGATGGCTACACAAACTCTATATTTACTCTATCCATATCAAGTGCAACACAAGGCGGGTAAGTGCTGCGGAGATTATTGTATGTGGAAAGCAAATACCAAATGTGTCAAGAATTTACTCTTTTTTTTTTTGTTTAATGATTTTTCTTTATATTTATTTTTTATTTCCTTACACCTTTGTTGTGAGCAACAAAAAAAAAAAGCAAAAAAATAAATAAAAATAAATAAATAAATACATATATAGGCATATGATATATGCTTTCTACAAAGCACTCTGATGAAATTTCTCCTCAATCTGGTCGAAATTGTGAACGTCATTCATTATTAAAGCTTTCAGAGTCTCGCTCTCTCCTTTTGTGTATTGCTTGCTATCATTTGTTAAAATTTATTTTACGACTTTAAAGTTTTCAATGTAATTTTTAACAAATGTTTTTTAAAAAGTCAATTTTTTAAATTAGTTGTATGTTTTGTTTTTTTGTTTTTTGTTGTTGTTTTTTTTTTTTTTTTTTTTTTTTTGTTATTTTTAATTCAGCGTTCATTAATACTTCACGTAAGCATTTTAAATCATTTGCTTTTGTTTAAAGTTTTAATGAACAATTATCGGTATTTGGCCAGTAATAAAGCGAAAACCGATGCGAAAATAATCTGTTTTATTTTTATTTTTTTTTTATTATTAAATTTTTTTATTTTTATTTTGAATAAAAAACATACATACCATTAAAAATTTATTAAACTTAAACATTATATGGAAAACATGACCGAGCCAAACACAAGCATGCTCAGCTAACCAGACAAACATTTAGTTAGCCAAACGGTCAACCAATTGACCTAATTGGCAATTATAAGCTTTTTAATTTGTTAAAACCAATAAATATACATTAAAAATTTTTAAATAAAAATGCAGAAAAAACACCAGAAGCGCGCGTACGAGACAATTTATGCAAATTAAAACACCAAACCCGGAATTAAAATGATTTTAATTGAATGAAAATGTTATTAACCATGAAATATAATAATAAATTTTCAATAAATTTTAATATTTATTATATTATATTTAAAGTTTTGTTTATTGTTATTATTATTATTATTATTATTACAATTTCTTTTTTTTGTTTTTTTTCTTTTTTGCTTTTTTTTATTTTATTACTTTTGCAGATTTAAACCGTGGTATTTGGAGGAATGTTCTTCAACATTAGCTACCACTTATAGTTCGGGTACACCTGGGCATGATAAAAGCGTGGCTACAGTTGACATGGATGGTCGATTAAGGCCGGATCATATCTGCACGGTAGAGCATACAGGCACTTCGGCATCGGCCCCATTGGCTGCAGGTATTTGTGCTTTGGCTTTGGAAGCCAATCCTAATCTGACATGGCGTGATATGCAATATCTTGTCGTTTATACGTCGCGGCCAACTCCTTTGGAAAAGGAAAGTGGTTGGATGTTGAACGGTGTTAAACGCAAATACAGTCATAAATTTGGTTATGGCCTTATGGATGCTGGAGCTATGGTTTCATTGGCCGAACAATGGACATCGGTACCACCTCAGCATATATGCAAATCGCGTGAAAATAACGAAGATCGCAAAATCGAGGGCACATATGGTTATACCTTAGCGACGCATATGGATGTGAACGGCTGCGCAGGGACTATAAACGAGGTCCGTTATCTTGAGCATGTGCAGTGTAGAATCACATTGCGATTCTTTCCACGCGGCAATCTAAGAATTCTCTTAACCTCTCCAATGGGTACTACTAGTACTTTGTTGTTTGAGAGGCCTCGAGACATTGTGAAGTCAAATTTCGACGATTGGCCTTTCTTAAGTGTACATTTCTGGGGCGAGAAGGCTGAAGGAAGATGGACTTTACAGATCATTAATGGCGGTCGCAGGCGAGTTAATCAACCCGGTATTCTATCCAAATGGCAGTTAATATTCTATGGCACCGCCATACAGCCATTACGTTTGAAAAATGATTTAATTAATCAGCAATTGCGGGGTTCGGCTAATCCTTATGCTTTTCCTACCGAATCGGATTTAACTCAATCGGCGGGTGATGGTGGATACTTTAATATGGATCCCATTAATGGGGTATTAAGTTTTCAAAATCTGTTCACCGGCGCTGCTTCGAATCCAGAAAAAGCTATAGCTACTGTCGATGGTCACAATATTCCGACACCGCAGCGGCAAAATGTTATGGCTGATTCGAATAATAAATTGGTTTTACATGACTGCGATCCTGAGTGCGATTCACAGGGCTGTTATGGTCGAGGACCGACACAGTGCGTGGCTTGTAAACATTATCGTTTGGACAAGTAAGTCAGGACGAAGTAGAAATCAAAAATAAATTTTTTTTTTTTGTTTTTTTCAATTCTTTCCGTTTATTCCTATAGCACTTGTGTAAGTCGTTGTCCACCGCGGTCTTTCCCCAATCAAGGGGGTGTTTGTTGGCCTTGCCATGAATCTTGTGAAACTTGTGCCGGTGCCGGTCAAGACAGTTGCTTAACTTGTGCTCCAGCTCATTTGCATGTCACCGATTTGGCGGTTTGTTTGCAAGTCTGCCCGGAAGGTTATTACGAAAGTAAGCGCAAATATGCCAAAAATTTTACTAACATACATTTTGGCAATTTTCCTTAATTTTTATTTATTTATTTATTTATTTATTTTTCTTAATAATTATTCCAAAACTTATCCTCATTCTGTACTTGATTTTTATTTTGCTTGCAGATTATGATAATAAAACTTGTGTACCGTGCGAAGCGAACTGTGCCTCATGTCAGGATCGTCCTGATTATTGTACCAGTTGCGAACATCATTTGGTTATGCACGAACACAAGTGTTTCTCATCATGCCCCTTACACACCTACGAAACCGAAGATTACAAGTAAGTTGTTCTTTAATTTCAAATATATGCAAAGACTTTTTATACGAAGACATCAGTACACCTAGCGCACGGGACGAGAGATCAACAAACTTTCTCCGAGTGTTTATATATTTGTGTATAGGAGAATAGGCGAGCAACTTAAGTTTTATTTCTTTTTTATTTATTTATTTATTTTTTTTATTTTTTATTTTTATTTTTTTTTTTTTTGCCTTCCCTCTTACTGCACTCTTACACCATGGCATAAAGGGTCAGAGTGAAGTAATAACAATAACAACAACAAGTACCTCATTAGTGCTAAGCTTATTTCATGCTTGAAATTCCAAGTCATTCTACACTTGTATTTCCTATGACGCTGTTGTTGTCGTTGGTGCCGTTGCAATTGCTATAGCTATTGCCGTTGCTGTTAAGCTATCAACACGCTATAATTACAAACATTTTCACACTAAACCACTACAACTACAAACACTTAAATATATGAGAACAACATATGCGTGTTCTTATGTGCATTTTGATACATGAGATGACGTTGCGGCGTCTGTTGGGTATATAATGTTACTATCATGCATATAACCAGCAGAGTAGAACGTGATATGCAAAAACTCATTAAGTATAACTGCAGGTTATATGTTAACAGTACCAGTCGTGGAAGATGTAGCAAAAATAGTAGTAGTAGTAGTAGTAGGTAATAGTAGTAGTAGTAGTAGTAGTAGTAGTAGTAGTAGGTAGTAGTGGCGGTAGTAGAAGTGGTAGTAAAAGTTAAATAAATATTCTACTTCCATGCAAGCATACATGCGGACATATATGAACTTATAAACAATTTATGAGTTTAAAAGACAGCACACGAAAGGAATTCAAATATTTCTCGAAATAAAAAAATATGAGAGAATAAATAAAATTTTCAGTGATTATATACATATATGTGTTTAAAAAAAAAAAAAAAAAAAAAATTTTTTTTTTTTTTTTTTTTTTTTTTTTTTTTGTAAAGACTCTCTAAAGTTTACTTAGAGTGCTCATGAACTACAACAATCCTCTTAAAATTCATTTTTTAATGTTTTAAAATTTCTTTTTTAATTAGTTCTCGAAAATGTGTTTAACTTTCAAAGGCGTTTTTGTGTGAACTCCCCACTATCCCCACTATTTACATGAGACCATTATGGTTCCAAATAGAAAAAGTTAGTCAATGAACGAACGGTAGTTTATATATATATATATATATATATATATATATACATATGTATATATGTATATGTATGTATGTATATATTAAAATTTTTAGTTTTAGTTTGCGCTATTGTCATTAACTTTGACTTGAATTTTGGTTGTTTTTTTTTCTTACTAACCAAATAACTCGCGGTTTCCACAAAATTTACTTTTCTACGGAAGAGCGGTCACAAAATGTTCATTAAAGTTAAAGTTAAAAAAAAATAGTTCAATATCAAAACAATATTACACGTACATATAGAGCATTAAGATTTTTTTAATTAATTTTTTTTATTTTTTTTTTTTTTTCATTTAATCTTAAAAAATGGTTTTTTTGATTCGACTTTGTCCTCAATATCCCACAAGAGCAAAAGTCAGATGGTCTTAAGCGAGATGAAAGTGTGAGTAAGAGTGATTATGAAAACAATTAAGTTAATTTTCGACAAATTCCTAAGATCGAATACAGTCTATGCACATGCATTAACGTGGTCCAACTATGAGGCCCATGTCGTCTTTCAAAATCGATTGCATATATTCAAACGATGTTTACCTGATATCGGAAATGTTTCTAACTGTCAGTCGGCGAACTATGGGCAACAAATACTTAACGTTCATCACGTAATGTTCATGAACAGCCGCAAGTGGATTTTTTCTGTTAGCACGACACAGTTTCCCGATAGGTCTCATTCCTTCTCCCGAAGTGTTCTAACTATTGACGTAAATACTCATTTAGTCTTTGTGTTCCTTGGACTAATGTAAAGAAAGATAAAGCAAAAGATCTGACTAAATACATTTACTATTTATTTAGAAAAACTGGTCTGATCCGAGTCATTTTCAATGGCGTTTAGCCTAGGGCCAAAAGCAAGCATAAAAGACGGACAGATAGGCAGGCAGACAGACGAGCTTAAATCCATTTACAAGATGAGTCTGACACGATTAGCATAATAAGAGGTGGACTTACCCTTAAGTTTTTCTCGGTAGAGGTCCACAAGGTAGGGTATGAAAACGCAGATTTTATTCACTAAAAAATGAAGACTTCTTAAGGCCTTTATAAAACTATTATCAATAATATTCGCATACACTTATATAGCATTTAATCGATCTCGTCTGATCTATTAGAGAGTTAGGAAATTTCTTAAGGTCTTCCGGTATGAAATAAAATAATTTTTTTTTTATAGAAGGAGTAAACTTTATTATGTTGTATATCTACCATTTTCCCCTCTTTATAATATTTCTGATCTTTTGCAGTAAAAAATTGTTGTGTATATGTCAATTTACATAGTCATCTGGATTGAAAGTTTTGCTAGATAAAGAATTTTGCAGAGATCCAAAGTGATTGTAATCTGATAGTGCAAGAATATGTCAAGACTATATGGCATATATGGTAATACATCCCAGATAAGTTTTAATAATTTTTGGTGGATGAGAGAAAAAGCATGGGATCTTGCATCGTCGCGATGAAACACTATACTTGTTCGATTGACCAATGCTGGACGTTTCTGCCGCAAGGCTTCATTTAATTTGATGAATAGTTCGGAGTATGCTTCGGAATTAATCGTTTCGTTACGCGGCAGAAATTCCTAAAACACAATTCCTTTATGATCCCACATCCGATAAACGGTTTTGGTGTTGTTTGAGGTGGCTAACCACGTTTTGATCGTAATCTATTCCGTTGCTCCAAATGCAGTTCTCGTCAAAAGTGGGTTGTTTTGGTAGCATATCACGTGATGTGGAATCGAAATATCCAGCGTTTTTTATACGCCAATTAATCGTCGAACTACCTGAGAAAAGTTATTTTAATCAGTTGTGTCGATAAAAGCCGGGAAGAAATTTCCGAATTACCTAATAGTTTGATCACCAAATTACATTTTCGGAATAGCATAAAATCTGCTTATGAGAGCGTAAAGAAAAAGAAAAAAAAAAAATTACTCAGTTCACATTTCTGGATCATTTATTAAAATACGCTGCGACTTTGTAAAATTTGATAAAATTGATTAAAACAATAATTTCAATATTAAAGCGTAATTAAAAGTGAAATGTTTCAATACGAATTTTATTATCAAAAAAGAATTTTAATTGCATTTCAAAAAAAAATTGATTTTATTCTTTTCAAATAAATTGCATAAGTCTATAATAAATTTGTAAAGATGATAAATAATAAATTGACAGATTGTTCAATTTTATAAATTTGCACAAATGTGTAAATATCAAACATATTAAAAAACACTTTACTAATATAATATCTATGTTCTTCTTCGAGATCACAAGCACGAACAAGAAATTTCTTTAGTCTCATGGAAAGACTAAAATGGAATTTAATTTATCGAACTTACATAAATGAATGTTCATGCTTACGTGCGTGTGTGTGTGTGTGTGTGTTTGTGTGTGTGGTGTTCAATTGAACAGAAAACAACAAAAATTTAATATTATTACGGCTGTCAAAATTACAGAAAAGAAAGTTTCATAAGAATTTTGCTTAAACATATATGAGCACTTGTATTAAATACACGACCTACCACCAATACCGACATGCCACATTTGTTCAATAAGTTGATAGGATGATTAATAAAGTAACAATTTTTAAGCAAAATCAGACTTTATTTAATAACATAATCTCCTTCGGGCGTAAAACATTCGTTTCAACACTAGTCCAAAATTTCCCCGCTTTTCCTATGCAACGATCTGCGCAAGCCTTAAAAGTACGCTTCAATTTCGGCCGTCAAACCATTTCTCTTAACATCGAATATCTTTTGGAGACTCGTGAACACGTAATAGTCGCTGTTCGTGCAATTTTGCCATTATTAGCTCGGTTACCCTTACGATATCCATAATATATATCCGTTGATATATATATATATCGCGTAAACATCCTGTTCACTGCTACCATTAAGAGAAAAGTCAACTATATCACGCAACTTCATCGTTCAGTCCGCCAAAACGATTTTGGTATGTATTCTACCGTATTCGGCCGAACAGAATTTTCAATATCATCGGTGCTTGTACGACCGCAAATCATTTCTCTACCATTTTTCTCGATGGAGCTGAGCTCTCAAGCCATTGCTTTGCTTTGCTTGAACGGTTTTTTTTATTGTTTTGAAAATGATAAAAGTAGTGTCGCAAAAATAACTGTACCTTGTAAAGTAATAGTAACAGAATGCCATGAGAAATTTTCGCACATTTCGTTGAAACGTTGGCGCAACATCTAAAAAGTAAGAAGACCAAATCTTCGATACCCATCGTCGTTGTCCTATGAACGATTGAAACAAACTAATTATAGAAATTTTCATATTCCACAATATTGGGTGGGCGTGGCTAATATTTGATATTCTGTTAGAATAATTTTGTGGAAATTCAGATCATGTATCGTGTTTTAGCTTATGAATAACAAGCAAAAGACATGGAAAGCAAAGGTGTTCGCAGTGTTGCTTGTACACACATGTGCTACGTAGTAAGCGTGTTTTTTGATCTGCTTACGACATTTTCAAGATCTTTTGTAAATTTCTTTCTCAAATTTCTTTCTTTTTGCGCACCGGGGCATGTGTACCGCAGCTACAATACAGTTTGGCAGCTGAATAGCTTAATGGACTAACAGAGGGACAGATGAACAGCTTAATGGGCTAACAGAGTCACAGATAAACAGATGAACATATTTAGGCGCATTCAGCATTTGATGGGGGTTTTGAACTGTACTATTGGAAGATAATTAAGTCTTGATCCATTATAATAGGTTTGTACAGGTACTACCGGGCTTCGCCCATAGAATGTGCGTTAAAATTTTTATAGATTTATCTGCTGCAGTT